ATCACGCCCTGTACGCGCTTGATCTGCTCAAGTGTCTGGGAGTCGAAGCTGCTGAGGTCCTGGAGTTTCACCTTCGTCTTCGGTTCGTATCCTGCGAGGACTTTGGCTACCTTGTGATCCTCCTTGCTCGTGTTGAAGATGTAGTTGAAACCCTTGGTCGTTGTGCTCATGTTCCAGGAACCTCGGTCGAAGATCCAGCGGTCCGTCAATCCCTCAGAGCCGTTCGCGTGTTGAGCTCCCCCGCGGCGAAACGAGTGCGAACTGAGTGCCTTCGTGACGCCAGCAGCTGGGGCGATCCGCTCCAAGACGCGGTTGACGTGCGAGTACACCGTCGGCGTCGACGGCGTTCCTTTGGTGGCTGGGACAGAGAGTGTCGATGGCGCGGCGGGGGCATTCAGGAGCTCGACGAGCGATACATCGTCGGAGATCGTGGCCGCTGTCAAGGTTTCTTGGCGGGGAAGGTTGCCGACCAAGTCATCCGAGGGCGCTCGCTGGACAATCAAGGCAAGAGCCAAGGCCAGCAACGGACAAGTGAGGAACTCCTCGTCCGGGAAAAGCGAGAGCCCCTGCTCCTTGCTCGTCTTCACCCTGATCAGACGCAAGAAGAGTACGCCGCCCGCGTCGACGCTGACGTTCCGCTTCCGCAGCATCGACAAGTCCGACGCGCGACCGAAGAGGTACCAAAGAAGACAAAGCAGAGCAGCATCTTGGTAGTCAGTATCACAGGAAGCATTGGTATACAAATATACAAGCATTTGTTTTAAATCGGACTTCGTACATGGAGGTGCTTTGTTAACGAAACCACCACCCTCGCGCTTCAAACAGAAGCTGTCAAGCGTTTTCCCCATTTTAAGCAATCGGGTCTCTTAAGACGCACGATGCTGGGGAAACTGGTCAAGCAGCCAAAGCTTGGCTTGCCGATAGTACTGCATGGCAGTATTTCTAGCTAAAGGTTTGCCCTTTTTGCCTTTACTAAATGCAAGATGCATTCCAAACTTATTCATTACAGATACAAAACATCTTCCACTGACATCGCGCTCAATGCATTTTCTTACGTACTCCTCTACAACGCCCTCTGCCTTCAGAAATTTCTTGAAGGCAGATAACGCTGTAGCCTTGGCCCTCAAAGTGTTGCCAGGCTGGAGCTCGTCCAGGCCCATCGCTTCCGTCCGATGCTGTGCAAATATGGGAGTGGTACGTGTCTGACCTACTATTTGCATTGGCATAAACATATTTTGAGCTGCGATCGGACTCGATACGTCCGATCGAATGGCTAAGAGGACTCACCTAACCCCAGGCGAAATTATTGGACAAAAATGTTGAGTGAAGCTTCGGCCATTGGTTGAAATGCGTAGAAATGATGTAATTGGCCATTTATAGGTGCCCAGAGGTCATACAAAAATTAAGTATGGTCCGATAGCTAATCATATTCATCCATACCAAAATTTATCGGACCCTCGGACCCGTAGGACCTGTACCAAGCGAGTGGTACACGATGGGATGGATACATTGGTGTGTAGTACTAAAGTGGTTAGGGGAGATAGTGTGGATGCTTTGCAACCTGACAAACCCTGTTGATAGGCGCAGTCTCAGGCTCTGAAACGGCCTGTAGGCTGAGAAAAACGAGAAAAAGGAAAAAACATGCAATTATTGACCGAGAGCCATGCGCTCTCGAGCCGGTAAATTTAACAATGAGCCAGCGCCGGGGTCCACTATTGAAAGCATTCGCTTTTCAGCCAGCCATTGATGCTTGCCGCTATTGGCTATAATCCACCAATCAGATGCTGCCTCATACAAGGTGGAAAGATACGTGGCCAGTGGATGGCCACAAGCTGAAGGGTCGTGCCGACAACAGCCTTCTTCGCTCATTCAGTCTTTTTCACTCCGTACCTGGCAAGCCTCCGCCCCCCCCCCCCGTTCATCGGACCCAGAAGCTCTAGGGTTAGAGCGCAGGATCCGTCCTGGACACCGGTTCAACTCCGGCTGGGTTCCTCGCTCCTCGCGTCTGCTGGGGGTGGAGGTTGTTCCGCACCCGTGCTGCGTCTGCTGCCCGCGCTGCTGCAGCCGTTCTCGTACCGCGCCTGTTGCCCACGCTGCTGACCCCGTGTTTGTGCCGTGCCTGCTGCTCATGCTGCTGCCCGCGCTCGTGCCCCCCTCCCCTGCTGCAGTGCGGTTTGTCCCTACTCTTTGTTCTGATAGTCTGACAGATACTACGTGTTGTTTTGCGTTGTTCAAAGGTTGACTAACGTGTATTGTTTGCTGTGCTAGTGATGCATCTAACCAACTAACTCAACGACGTCTTGTGTGTAGCCGGGTGCAGGATATTGGATAGCTGCCGACTGGAGCAGACGCTGGTGGCGCTCTATTTGGTGGTTGAGTGCGCCAGCCTTGTGCAGGGCCTGGAGATGCTTGAGGACGGAACTGGACCCGCGCGACGCGATCTTATGTTGAGCCAGGAAGGAGAGAGCTTCTTTCTCCGCGCGCAAACCAAGGGCAAGGACGTCGTCGCGGTAGCTGACAGCGCTTGGATCCAGCCCAAATCCGTCGGCCAAGAACAGCTTCATGTACGCAACCAGCAGCTTCGCGTTCGAGCGCTGTCGCTTGGGCTCGCTCGCGTGCCATCGTGGCTCATGGGCATACCAAGCAAACCAAGTGGCGTGAAGGTGAGTTGTCCCACTCCTGCGCTGCTTCTTCTTTGGTGTGCTGACTTCTTGCTCTCCCTCTTTTTCACTTGGCTTGTTGCGCCTAATGGTCAGGACAGGATCGTTGTTCAGCTTGGCCTCCAGAGCGTCCATCCGCTCGTCTTGCCGCTTCGACATGTTAATTAAGTGCTTAATCACAGAAGCTTGGTGATCGATGATCTTCAGCTCCTTCGTTTGCTGTGCTTGGTGGGTAGTGTCGTTTTCCGGAGTTTGCTTGTTGCTACAGGGTTCGGCTGCTAGCGAGAGATGCGCAGACCAAGCAAGAAGATTCGCCAGCGTGCTTCCACCGCTTCGCACAGCACTTTCGACCCGCGTGACGACTGGACTGCTGTGGCTCAGCTCCTTCAACAGCGGGAAGAATCGTAAGACGGCCGCAGTCAGGATGTCCACGACCTGCTCGTTGACGTTGAAGCTGGAGGTTGCGAGGTTGCTGCAGGACGTGAACATCACGCCCTGTACGCGCTTGATCTGCTCAAGTGTCTGGGAGTCGAAGCTGCTGAGGTCCTGGAGTTTCACCTTCGTCTTCGGTTCGTATCCTGCGAGGACTTTGGCTACCTTGTGATCCTCCTTGCTCGTGTTGAAGATGTAGTTGAAACCCTTGCTCGTTGTGCTCATGTTCCAGGAACCTCGGTCGAAGATCCAGCGGTCCGTCAATCCCTCAGAGCCGTTCGCGTGTTGAGCTCCCCCGCGGCGAAACGAGTGCGAACTGAGTGCCTTCGTGACGCCAGCTGCTGGGGCGATCCGCTCCAAGACGCGGTTGACGTGCGAGTACACCGTCGGCGTCGACGGCGTTCCTTTGGTGGCTGGGACAGAGAGTGTCGATGGCGCGGCGGGGGCATTCAGGAGCTCGACGAGCGATACATCGTCGGAGATCGTGGCCGTTGTCAAGGTTTCTTGGCGGGGAAGGTTGCCGACCAAGTCATCCGAGGGCGCTCGCTGGACAATCAAGGCAAGAGCCAAGGCCAGCAGCGGACAAGTGAGGAACTCCTCGTCCGGGAAAAGCGAGAGCCCCTGCTCCTCGCTCGTCTTCACCCTGATCAGACGCAAGAAGAGTACGCCGCCCGCGTCGACGCTGACGTTCCGCTTCCGCAGCATCGACAAGTCCGACGCGCGACCGAAGAGGTACCAAAGAAGACAAAGCAGAGCAGCATCTTGGTAGTCAGTATCACAGGAAGCATTGGTATACAAATATACAAGCATTTGTTTTAAATCGGACTTCGTACATGGAGGTGCTTTGTTAACGAAATTACCACCCTCGCGCTTCAAACAGAAGCTGTCAAGCGTTTTCCCCATTTTAAGCAATCGGGTCTCTAAAGACGCACGATGCTGGGGAAACTGGTCAAGCAGCCAAAGCTTGGCTTGCCGATAGTACTGCATGGCAGTATTTCTAGCTAAAGGTTTGCCCTTTTTGCCTTTACTAAATGCAAGATGCATTCCAAACTTATCCATTACAGATACAAAACATCTTCCACTGACATCGCGCTCAATGCATTTTCTTACGTACTCCTCTACAACGCCCTCTGCCTTCAGAAATTTCTTGAAGGCAGATAACGCTGTAGCCTTGGCCCTCAAAGTGTTGCCAGGCTGGAGCTCGTCCAGGCCCATCGCTTCCGTCCGATGCTGTGCAAATATGGGAGTGGTACGTGTCTGACCTACTATTTGCATTGGCATATACATATTTTGAGCTGCGATCGGACCGATCGAATGGCTTAGAGGACTCACCTAACCCTAGGCGAAATTATTGGACAAAAATGTTGAGTGAAGCTTCGGCCATTGGTTGAAATGCGTAAAAATGATGTAATTGGCCATTTATAGGTGCCCAGAGGTCATACAAAAATTAAGTATGGTCCGATAGCTAATCATATTCATCCATATGACCAATGACGCTCTCGTCGATGAGGCTTTCTTGAAGAGGCAGAAGAATTTTTTCGAAGAATTTCTTCTGCCTCCGATCTTTCGTCATGTGTCAGCGCAGATTCGGCAGTTGACCAATTTGGGATCTTTTACGTGTTGCAGGCTTACAGATTCTGTAAGGTCACTCGCTGGAGCTAGGCATCTACCGAGCTGTCGATAGTAAGGGACAGAGGCTTGTTCTGCAAGCGCGCGTTCGGGTAGTCGGTGATTTCGTCATGTTCTTTTGAGGATTGCTCAAAGCTTAGCGTAGCTGGTCACGAGGAGCCTCGTAGGATAGATAGCCTGTCCTCCTATCAGTGTAACTGTATCAAGACGAAATTCCTCGAAATTCTGCAACGACCGATTTAGATTGCCACTTGCCATTTCGCCCCCGTCTACTCAGTTATGAGCGCCCGTCGGGCACACGGACCTACGCAGAAGCACCGCGCTGCACCGTATGACGACGCGCCACCGACCAACCTCAAGTTCATGTCCAACAGCGAGCGCGGTAAATATTACCGACGCAGACGCAAACACTACGGCCAGCACCTGGAGACGTGCGTGGCCGATCTGCGCGAGGAGATCGCGGCCTTGACGATCTCGCGCCAGGTGCAGCAGGAGCTGGTGCTGTCGCAGCGACGCACACCATTGGGCGCTGCTGCCCACGTTGTGGATGAATATTGTTCGCTGTTCAGCCACGGCGCGCCCGTGCGTCTGACTGTGGACGAACAGAATGCGTCGGCGTCGCTCGTGGCGCAGGCCACCAACGCTCAGCGAGGGTTCTTGAGTGCCGTGATGAACGACAACGTGCGGTTCGGCGAGTTCCTTGGCGTGGAGCTGCTGCTGGGCCAGTGGGAGCGCTACTCGCTGTATCATGCAGCCATCGATTGGAAAATGACCTCGTTGAACATCGTGCAGCTGGCCGAGCCGCGAGTTTTGACTGTAGACAACCGCCACGACGAGGGGCCGCTAGTGGTGTCAATCACGGCGGACTTGCGCGTGCGGTTCTCGCGTCGAACGATCGAGGAAGTATTTCTACATTTGGTCGGGGACGAGGCGCTGACACAGTCGCTGATAGGGCTGGAGGTGACGTATCCGTGCGTTAACCACTTCCATTTCAACGAGCAAGGCAAGATCGAGTGGTATGCACCCGAGGTGGATTTTGTCAGCGCACTGACGAAGGCGCTAGGGCGGCCAGGGCTGGTGGCACGCGTCGTCGGTCACGCTTTGATCGAGAAAGACCATATGATCGGCGACGGGAGCGATGGCCGGAAGCTTGCCGCGGTGGAAGCTGTCGAGGAAGAAGAGGTGGTGACAGGTACCAGGTTCAGCGAGACTGATGAGAGCTATCCGTATGAAGGGACAATATTTGTCACTCCACCAGCACGGTCGAAGAACAAGAAGCGTCTCCGAGAAGACGACGGCTTTGTTGCCGTCGTAAGCGACGATGAACCATCGCCAGAGTCGCCGGAGTCGTCACCCAAGCCATTGAACCGACTGAACCTGGCCTACATCCTAGCCGACTGATAGCTTTTCAACAACTTGCCTTTTTAAGCATTGTTCCCTCTAACTTGATCGCCATTCGTGGCTTGACATCGAAACCGATAAAAAGGGACCCGACGGTCGTGAATGGAGGACGGGGTACTTGCCCAGCTCAATGGTGGTAAAAGTCAGCATTTCGTCATGGGAAAGGCATGGAAATTTGCCATTTATCGATGCATGTAATTTTGTATTATAACAGTCGGCCTAGAGCAACGTTGTGATACGGTACCGGTATGAGCACTTGATAATATCAAACTTCAGTAATACTACGTAAGTAGCTCACTTTTTATGACAGTAGCAAAAATACTATTAATAGAACGAAATACCATTGAATTCGAGTCTATCGGAAGTTGCTACCGTCGCATTCGAAACCGATCAATACTGGTGACATGTAGTCCCTCAAACAGTGTAAAGCAAAAAGCGAACCGAGCGAGCTCTTCACTATGACGGAAACCCCAATGGACCACCCCAATAAGTTTCTAAATGAAGCGACTGGGCCAAGGGCCTTCTTTCTGTAACATGTAGTTTTGTGATGCTAAGAGAAATGGCCATCATCAGTGGAACGACGCACATGTCTAACAGAGATGTAAAACCACTTGGAGGCTTTTGCTTCTCGTCCACAAACTAGGACGCCGCACCCAGTCGGAATACCTTGTGTTCATAACATTGCAGACCAGGTATTAATACTTCTAACCGTTGATCTGCAACGTGTTTTGCCTTTCCTCGCTTCTTCCGACACGACACGCCTTCTTACCCGACTGTCTATCGCCTAAGCGTGCCATTCATTCCCTCTCTCACTAACCCAAGCAACTTCTCGGCTCGCACGCAGAAATGAACACCCGTCGCTTGAATGGGCCTTACGCCAAACCAAACCAGTCAGATTCGTTCGTCGACACTTTACCGTCTGCCCTCAAGCTCATGTCCAACAGCGAACGAGGCAAATACTACCGGCGAAAGCGCAAGCTTCAAAGTGCACAGCTCAAAGAGAGTGTGTCCAGTCTTCGCGAGGAAATTGCAGCTCTGACGATATCACATCAAGTACAGCAAGAGTTAGCAGTTTCGCAACGTCGTACACCGTTGGGCGCGGCCGCGCGTATTGTGGACGAGTACTGCTCGCTGTTCAGTCGTGGAACTCCTGTTCGTCTGGCTGTGAACGAACAGGACGCGTCAGCATCGCTCGTGGCGCATGCAACCAATGCCCTGAGAGGGTTCTTGAGCGCAATCATGCCCTGTAATGTGCGCTTTGGTGAGTTTCTGGGCGTGGATCTGCTGCTGGACCAGTGGCAACGCTATTCGCTGTATCACGCAGCTATCGAGTGGACCATGAAATCGCTGAATGTTGTACAGGTATGCGATGTCGGACCGCTGGTGATTTCGATCTCAGCAAACCTCCGTGTCCGCTATTCGCGGCGTACAATCGAAAAGATATTTCCGCATCTGCTCGGCGATGAAGCGTTGGTACAATCCCTCATTGGACTAGAGGTCACATACCCTTGCGCCAATCATTTCCACTTCAGCCACGACGGAAAGATCGAATGGTATGCGCCGGAGGCAGACTTTGTAGGTGCACTCATGGGTGTGCTGAAAGACCCGGTACTTGTAGCTCGGGTCATCGGCCATGCATTGATCAAGAAGGGTCACATGATTGGGGACGAGAGCGACGGACAGCAGCTTGCATTGGCGGAGTCGGCGCATTCAACAGAAGTTAGGAACGCGACTCTGACTCAGACCGAAGTCTCTTTAAGTGAAGAGCCAGTTAGAAACTGCTCAGCCATCCAGAAGGCCAAGGATGTACATGTAGAAGACTTTTTCGAGTCACCACCTCCCCAGTCCAGCCAAATGCAACTTTCCTACATCTTGGGTGAGTAAGCGTTAGCCTTCAAAATCCTAGGACACTTTAATTATTAATAATACAGTCTCAGGCCGAGTGCCGACACCGATTTACGAGCGAAGAGGAGAAAACACTCTCCCAAATGAGCTGTGTCCGATTGGGTGATATTATTATCTTATTGTAATGGGTTGTTAGTAGTACTATGGAATGTATAGTATTGTAATTAATAAACAGGCAGATGTAGGACGGCTGTGGAAGCTTCTAGAAGCTTCCATCCGTCTGAACTGCGGGGGCGGCACTTTTCTTTTGGCGCGCTCTCCCCCAAGCTCCCCTGACTTGGATAAACTGGTAGCACTTGTTGGTCCCAGCAACCTGACAACAAAGAGCCCATGCCGACGAACGCGCAGCTTCAAGCCGAGAGTCGACCGGCTGAATCAAGCGATGGCGGAACGCACACGAGTGCCCAGCAACCTGCCCAAGTTCACCGGCAAGAGGGGGGAAGACGTGCGCGAATGGCTGTTCAAGGTCGAGAACGCCTGCCGCATTAACGGAATCGCAATCGACAACGCGAACCCACGAATACCAGGAATCGCCGGGTCGGCGATGGAGAAACCGGCTTCGGGGTGGTTCCTGCACTGGGCTTCGACGACGCGAGTAGAAGAGCACACGTGGGGGATTTTCGTGAGCATGTGCTCCAACACTTCGAGGCGTCGAACTACCAGTCAGTGCTACGAGATAAGCTCCAGCGTCTGAAGCAGACAGCGGATATCGAGACGTACAACGGTGAATACTCAGCCCTCACCTTTCGAGTCGAAGGCATGAGCGTGCTTGACCAAGTCCTGTTCTACGCAAACGGTCTCAAGCCTCGCACGCGAAGCTACGTGAAGCTCGAGAATCCTGAGACACTGAGTAACGCCATGGACTTAGCTGTCAAGTTTGAGGTGACTCACTTTGTGGAGGACGCTAGTGAGCGCAAGGTTCGTCATGAGAAGACAAAGACCTCTAATGAGCAACCTCAAGACAGCAAGAAAACGTTCAAAGGAAAACCATTCCGAGGAAAGGGACGGCTTAAACCGAGCTCGAATTCGAAGAGCAAGGAGACTCGTACCTGCCACTTCTGCAACAAACCTGGCCACATCAAAGCCAACTGCTTTGCGTGGAAGAAGGAGCAAGGGAAGCAGGGAAACGAGAAGCCACGACAGTGAAAGAGGGTCCTGTCGTGGAAGAGAAAGTAACCGGAGCAGTTAAGTTTGATAATGTCAGCCATAATGTTCTGTGTGAAAACCCTCTAGTCTACAAGTCACGTCCACTGTTCGCCGTCGGCGGTGAAATCAGTGTGGCTGGCAAGATGAAGAAAACATCGAAGATGCTTCTAGACTGTGGTGCAACCACGATCTACGTGTCGAAGCGGTGGGTAGAAGAACACCAGCTGAAGACAACGAAGTTCAGCGACAAGAACATTCGAGTCAAGCTAGGAGACAATCAGATTGTGGAGGCCCACCTAGAGGTGCTACCTCTACGTATCCTTGTCGCCGGAATCGACGAGGCGTATGAATGCGTCGCAGTTGTCTACGCGATACCTGAAGAGTTTGACTGCATCCTTGATATACCTTTCTTTGAGGACATGCAGTCACAGATCGACTGGAGACGTCGACGAATCGAAGGAACAATAGAGAGAACTTTGCGCTGGGAACGAGCGGGTGAAACCTGTGGGCCAATCGAGGAAGGCGGACCGGTGATTGCCTCCGGGCTTCGGAGATCTGTCGGGGCGAAAGGCCTGTCGGCGAAAAGACCCGATTCCTGTCGAGGTGCCGCGCTGGAAACGGGTGTGAAGTCCGCGGTCAATCCCGTTCACGACTCAGAGCAGAGTGAGACCCCACGAGTTGCTTGCGAGCGACGGGAAGACGCTTCAGCTGGCAAGGGTTCAGCAGACGAAGACGAGAGGAAGTCGTCGAGACGCGACGGTACTGCTGCTGGGAGCAGCGATACCAGGGGGAGAGATTCCGTCGTGGAAAAGATGTTCACAATGGGAATCACAGATGAAGCTGGTATACAAACCAAGTTCATCACGAGAAAGAAACTGCGAAAGTTCCTGAGAATCAAGACCAAGTCGATCGAAGAACCAGACTTCATGTTGGTTCTGACGAACGAAATGATCAAAAACGTCGCTCGATCCTTGGAGCGGCGAGACCAACTCGACAATGTCGGAACTGCAAAAGCTCAACGTTATCTGGAGACAGACTGGCAAAGTTTCCAGGCAAACCCTGCCTTTGACTTGCTGACGAAGTACAAGGACACGGTGTTCCAACCTGAACTCCCTGAAGGTCTTCCGGAGAAGCGTAAAATCGAGCACAGGATCGACGTGAAAGATCCCAACCTTGCGATGTACCGGCAACAGTGGCGACAGTCACCTGAGCAGCAACGTGAGATCGTGCTCTGGGTCATAGACATGGGGAAGAAGAAACTTATCCGACCAAGCATCAGCCCACACGCGGCGCCAACCTTCTGCGTCCGGAAACCAGTTGGGTGGCGGATTGTTTACGATTATCGGTACTTGTACTCTAATACGATACGGCAGAGCATACCGATGACAAGGAAAAAAGACATACTGGACGCCATGGCCGGAGGGTACTGGTTTTCAACGATGGACTTGATGTCCGCGTATTATCAAGTTCGAATGCATATCAAGTTCACAGCATTACAGGCGCCCAACGGACTCTGGGAGTACCTGGTACTGCCAATGGGAGTTTGCAACGCGCCAGCGACGATGCATCGATTGACGTCGAAACTCTTTCGCGATCTGGAGAACACGAAGTCGTTCTACGACGACATCTACATCTTCACGAAGACACAGAAGATTGAAGATCACTTGGAAGCTCTCCGCAAAACGTTGGACATCTTGCAAGACAACAAGTTATACGTGAAGCTGTCCAAGTGCGTCTTCTGTGCCGACGAGATTCCATGCCTTGGAGATTTTGTTGGGAGAAACGGCGTGCGGATGGATTCAGATAAGGTGCAGACCATCAAGGACTGGCCAATTCCAAGAACGCAAGAGGAGCTTCACAGCTTCCTCGGCTTAACTGGATACGTCCAACGATTCTGCCCAGACTACGCGAAACTGACAGCAAGTATGTTTACTTTGCTCAAGAAGAAGTCCAAGCGCAATGCGAAGATTCGTTTCGACGAAGAGCAGTCGAAGAACTTCAAGGAGCTGAAGAAACGGCTGTGCAATCCACCAGTGTTGCACTTGCCCGATCTCAATCAGCCTATGCATTGAATCCACCACATCGAGGTTCAAAGAGACAGCCAGACCGGAGCGGATGAACAGGACACTTGAGGAATATTTGCGGTGCTTCGTGGGCCCTGTTCAAGACGACTGTGATATCCATCTTGCCAACGCTGAGTTCGCAGTGAATTCAACCGTGAACAGTAGTATCAAGATGGCGCCTTTCGAAGCTGATCTCGGATACGTCCCACTAAACCCGCTTCAACTTGCGGCAGAGAATCGTGGCAAGGTTCCCACAAGTCGACGTGGTGCTGAGTTCAACGAGCGACAAGCAGCTCTTCTTCGGCGGTGTCAGGAAGCACTAGCGGAAGCACAAGAGCGAATGCGCGATGTGTACGACCGAAACCGGGAGGAGCAAGTCTTCGAAGTTGGCGACCGAGTGTACTTGAGTACGAAACACTTGGATCGGAAACATACAGGGTTACCCAACTCAAGCAAGCTTGGTCCGAAGTGAATAGGTCCCTATACGGTGGTGAAGAGGATCCATAATCACGCGTACGAGCTCAACATCCAAGCCGGAAACAAACTTCATCCAGTCTTAAACACCGGATCTTTGAAGCCTTACAAGGACGCCACTCGGATGTCAAGGCTCCATGATGTCGTTCTCGCCGATGGTACAGTTGGACAGCTCATCCAGAGGATTCTCGGTAAACGAACTCACAAGCAACGAACCCAATTTCTTGTGGAGTGGGTGGGTGAGGAGAAACCTACTTGGGAGCCAGTCGAGAATCTCTCACAGGTCCCGGATCTCATTGGAGACTTCGAAGCATCCAGGAGAAGGAAACGGCGAAGAAGATGAACGACAACGGCAGGAGTAAAGGGGGCCCGAGAGCCTACATGTATTCCCAAATTACATTCCCTACAACTTCTGCTGCTTCTTCTCGCGGCGAGCTTTCTTTCGATTTGACCTGGACTTTCGTTTCCCGCGGCGGCAACGATACCCTGGATTCAGCTTCATCAATCCCATCCATTTGACCTTGTCGAGATACGCCAAGTTGGTCAAAGGTTCCGGGGTCACCGGCAGCTCAACGCCATCCAGTACGGAAACAGCAGTGTCTGGACCCTTCGCGAGAACAGTAACGCAGTGTCCAACGAGACCATCACCAATACTCGTGAGATACAATCCTTCACGCAGTGTTTGGACAAACGTCTGGACCCGTTCCACATTCGTGTACGAAGCATCAAGTGGACTCTGGAAGAGAAGATCGTAATCCAACGGAAAATCGTTGCGCTGAAGAACGCGAAAGAATTCCGTAGCTTCCGCACGAGAAACTCCATCGACAGTGCTTGGGTGATCACGCACGAAATCCACCCATAGCGCAGTGGCCGTGGATGCAAGACCAGTATCACCAAGGTGATAAAGTGCCGCGCGGAACGCGTCCATGAAGCATCCTCCAGCAGGAGAAGCCTGATCACGGCGCGCAAAATGCTTCTTGTAATAATAGGCGAAGGCACCTGGACACAGATCGTCACGCCATTGCATCACTTGATCCATGCGCCGAGCGAAGCGTTGGTCGAGTTGCTCTTTCCATACCCATCTCAACTGAAGCGGGGAAATCTGCCATTCCACCAGGAAGCAGCGATGCGGAGATTCACCGCGAACGTCGTGCAGCTGCTCAATATTGACTGGAACCGAGTAATCCCCTGGTGCCGCCGGGTCGTAGTGATTGACACGACCATTGGCGGGGTGCTTCGCCGGAGCTGACGGTAAAGCATACGGATGCCAGTCACCAGAGTCGACGCTGCGCTTCAAGCGATTAAGGGTACCAGCAGGTACAGTCTCCTCATCGCTGTCATCATCAAATAGGCCGCTCACTTAGGGAGTGGAGGATGGTGGACGCGCCGCGTGCAGACCGTACGAGCCGCCCTCGTCTTCTTCTTCATCGGAGCTGCCGAAGAGCGGACCACAATGCAGTTCCTTCAAGCGGTTTAAAATTGACACGCCAGACACGTCCGACGCCACCGAAGCATCGTCCGGAGGTTATAATGGCGCGGTGTTCAGCGCAGGCGGCGGAGAAACTGCGGACGGAGCAGAAGCGGGCGAGGTCGCTGAAGACCCAACAGGAGACGGAGGCGACGGCGGCGACGGTAACTGCGGCGACGACGGAGGTGACGGTAGCGGAGGTGACGGTGGTGGCGACGGTGAAGTGGGCTGCGCTGTAGCCTGACGGCTTGCGGCCGTTCCCAATGACGGCTCGGCCAAAGAGACGCGCGCCAGCCGTGACTTAGTCGCACGGAGCCCAGCAGTAGACTGGAGCCCCACTAAGAGATCACGAGAGGAAGCAGACGGGCGTGATGAAGCCATAGTGACCGCCTCGGGTTGGAACCCACTGCGAATTCCAGTGAAGCCAGGCCCGTAGGCGAAGATGACACTGGTTCGAGCGAGTCCCTGTTGAGACGGTCGACTTCGCCGTCTGCTGTGCTTTTTCGAGAATGAAGGCTATGAAGAGGCGGCGGCTGCCAGAGGGAGGGTGAGTGTATCCGATTGGGTGATATTATTATCTTACTGTAATGGGTTGTTAGTAGTACACCTTTTCCAGTCCAATAAGGCCAAGAGCAAATGGTATTAGCCAAGTGCGAGAGCAGTTTGGCCAACAACAAAAGCGAATTCATGAAGAGCAAAGGCAAATTGGAAGAACTACTACACTACATATGCACTTACACAGTGAGTGCGTGTCGTGATACACGCACTTCGTCTGGCTCGCTTCAACGGCCTACAGGCATGTCTTCGAGGTCCGTGACCTTCACGTGAAAGGTGAGCGTGTGGCGGTAGCATGCCTCGCACAGACCTGGTGTAGCAACCTCAGGGAATTTCGAGCGAGCAGCGCGCGTGAGATGGAACTGTCTGTGCGCCTTCAGTGTGACACCTTCGGGGACAGCAAGAATGTCTGCACGGTGCTCGGTCATGTAGTCCTTAACAGCAGGCTTGAACGCAGAGAATACATTCTCAATCGGGTTCAGCATAGGCGAATAAGGCCCAAGACGCAGCAGTGTAGCACCAGCAAACTCAGGCTCCTCAAAGACGTGCTCAGCTCGAGCATGGCATGGCGCGTTGTCTAGGACAAGAACGATGTTGTCGAGATTCTCAAACTTTCGCAGCGTGGCTCGGATGAACTCGTTCGAGTTCAGATACTTGTTGCCGCCGAATCGCAGCTCGTAGTGCACGACGCCGCCGATGCCGATGCACGCAATCACTTGCAAGTTCTGGCCGCCACCAGCAAAAACTTTCTTCACACCACGCTGGCCACGGCGGCTGCGCCCTCTAGTGCGAGTAGACCAGAGATTGAAATTGGTCTCGTCCATGTAGATGATCGTCTTACCAGCCGCTTGATAACGCTGCAGCTGGATGAGATAATCACGGCGCTTAAGCTTGTTCTGCGCAGTGTTCATGTACTGGGGCTCTTTGTGGAATTGGTTCATGGTGATTAGAGCAGCATCGAGGTGGGTTTTCACGGTTTGAGGGCACACCGTTACACGAAGCGATGTCTCGAGCATGTCTGCAAGCTGCCGTAGCGTGAGGTCGGGGTCAGTGGCGAGCTGATCTTGTAGGAACTTCACGCATGCTGGGGTCATCTTTTGCGCGGTTTTTCCACCACGAGGCGCCGGGCTGATCACGTCCTCAAAGTTGGGGTAGCGCTGTACCCAATTGCGAGCAGTGCTGAGATTCACGTTGTTGTCTCCAGCGACAGCTTCCCAGTCGAGACCATTACGGGCAGCCTCGAGCACGCGAAGCTTCGTGTAGAGCGTGTAGCGGCGATACTTAGTCGGCATCAGCGTCGAAGGAAGAAAATGGAGGAATGAGACCGAAACGAGAAGCCTTTGAGGCGAGGAAGCTCTCGCTAGAGCATGCCTGTAGGCCGTTGAAGCGAGCCAGACGAAGTGCGTGCATCACGACACGCACTCACTGTGTAAGTGCATATGTAGTGTAGTAGTTCTTCCAATTTGCCTTTGCTCTTCATCAATTCTTGTTGGCCAAACTGCTCTCGCACTTAGCTAATACCATTTGCTCTTGGCCTTATTGGACTGGAAAAGGTGTACTATGGAATGTATAGTATTGTAATTAATAAACAGGCAGATGTAGGACGGCTGTGGAAGCTTTTAGAAGCTTCCATCCGTCTGACTGCGAAGGCGGCACTCTTCTTTTGGCGCGCTCTCCCCCAAGCTCCCCTGACTTTGATAAATGAGCTGCACTAACTTTTTCAGGCAAATTGGTAGTTCAATCTGGCAAAATGTACGTCAAAATGTCTGTCGCACCTAATTTTTGCTCGGTTTTCGTGTGTGAAAGGAATCCCCCCACCGATTCGTTTTCGGGTTTCTCCTCAGAGCCGGTCACCGTATTAATACTGTCCACTCTTATTACTTGAGCGGCACACAAAGTTTTTGTCACCAACCAACAAGCGAGGATCAACGATCCTACACGGTCCAGCCTCACCCACCACTACTAGCACTAGGTCATCGCCGCAACAAGGCTGCCCGAGGCAGCCTGCCCCGCAGTCTGCGGCGCAGAGCAGGACTTGACAGGACATGAAAGCTTTGATAGGTGAATCTATTGCAATGACGACGAACACGGAGAGCCTACATGTATTAATACGGTTATAATACTTCTGCAAATTCTGCTTTTCCGATGCGACACTTTCGCTGTTGGGCTGTCGCTGGTATCGCCATCACGCCTGAGGCGTGACGCCTGAGGCGTGACGCCTCGTTGCCATGTTGGCTGCCGCGATAAGAGACTAGCCGAAGCAACACCACTCATGAAGAAAGGGAAAAACTAACGAGGGCCCTCCTAGAGAGGGCCCTCACACAAAACGGGCAGAGGTATTACCGTTAGTGCTGCAAATAGACCGTTAGTGACGCAGCCGTTAGTGATGCAAAAAGACCGTTAGGTGG